AGAGTGTAGACATCATCTGGTAGTGACATTACAACGATGGTTCTAACTTTAGTGTCAACTGCAACTTGTTTCTTATCATCTTTCATCCATAAATTTGGAGTTCTGATGATTTGTCTTCTTGGTCAGATGACTTTGTCATTTATCTCTATCACCAGGTAGAAAGGTGATTGGGACATATGGACCATTTTTTAGAACATTTAGGGGTCGTTTGGTTCGCGGAATTCGAAGGAATTTAATGGAATTGGAATGACAATTCCTTTGACCAAATTTCAATTCCTTTGTTTGGTTCATTTATTGAACGGATGGAATCCTTCAAATTCCATTGAATTCCACAAGTTAATGAATTCATCATTCCTTGGCATAACGGAAGGAATTGAATTCCAACACTATCCACCACGATCATTCTACTATTGTTCATGATGCCCCACCCTTAACCCCCACCACTGATGTCGCTGCCACCCACCTTACCCCACTCTAACCACTATGCCACTACTGTTGTCATCACACCCACCCACCCTCCTGTCACTTACTACACATCCCTACTACGACTATGCTACTAACATTAGTGTCACCCCCCTAACCTAACCCCCACCACCACAACATTATTATCGTCGTCATAACTGCCACTCACCCTACCGCACCCTACCCTAACCACCACCATCCACTATGTCACTATTGTCGTCATCATATCCATCCACTCCCAATCACCCTGACCATCATCCCACCACTATCATCATCACAACTGTCATTGATCCCCACCTCCCCGCCCCTACCGCCCTTAACCTAACCCTCCACCCCCACATTACTATTGTCGCCTTCACAACCGTCATTCACCCGCATCCCACCCTACCCCAACCCACCACTAAACACCATGCCACTATTATTGTCGTCATACCCACCCACTCCCTGGCCCCAGCCTCCCGAGTCCCGACCACTATCCCACCACTAGCATCATCACAGCTACCACCCCGCCACCTACCCCTACCCACCCCACCGTCCTGCCTTGCCCCCACCCTACCTTACCCTACTCTAACCCATCACTAACCACCATCCTACCACTGTAGTCATCACAACTATCACATTGCCACCTATTGCCCCACTCTGGCTCCAAACCCACATCCTCACCCCACCCCTGCCTGCCCGCAACAATCCCCACCTATGGAGCAGGGTAGGGCAGAAGTGGTGGGGGAAGGGCGGGTGATAGTTGTGACGACGACATTAGTGACATGGTGGCTGGTAGGGTGTGTGGCGGGGCGATGGATGGGATAGTCCATACAAAGATGATTGTTCCAATTCTATTGAGAGATTTCATTCCAATTCCTACCAACCAAACACATGGTCAAATTTCATCAAATTTCATTCCAATTCTTTCAAAGTCAAATTCCTTTGATGGATTCCAATTCCATCAAATTCCATTCTGTGAACCAAACACCCCCTTAGGATTTGATTGTCAATTCCTTCAAGAAAGAGTGTCATCCAATTTTTCCAAAGAGAGAAGTTATCCTTTTGAAAACGAGGTGGTTCAGATAGGGAGCCATTGTCCTTTTGTAAAACTAGATTTGGATATCAGTACTATTTGTTATATCCGATGGATGCTCTTCTTCGGATATAAAAATTACAAAGCAAGGAATAAGAGTTTTCTTCTCATGTTGAATCAGATGTTATTTTGTATTATTGTCGGATCCGGTGGTTGAGACTAACAGTTTATTTTAATTTTATATGATATAAACAAGGGTAATTTATATCAAAATTGAATGTAATTTATTCTAGTTTTTATTCCGGGCAATCTATTTCTAAAAAACTTTTTAATTTGGGAACGTTACAATGGATTTGATGCGACTAAGTGAACATTATGTTTTTGATACAATTACCTGAATATAATAGAATTAACTTAGTAACCAAAAAAGAAAACGTATTATAACTTCGTATAAAAAAAAATTCTTGAAATTTACTTTGTTAAACTTTCTTATTTAAGATTCTCATTGTAAACACCAAAATAAAGATTTTGAAAGAAAAGTTGTCCAAATTAAATTCACAACGAAGTTATTCCATTTTAATTTGCGTTAGAAACAAAAAATACTTTAATCTTGGAAAGTTCTCGTTTCTAATAAAATTATCCCATGGACAAATAATTTCAAATAAAAAGATACGTACAAAACCTACTGTAGTAGTCGATTCAAATACAAAAGCTAAACATTGTGAGTAGATAAGAAGGCAAGGTTAAGAGAAGATTCATATATAAATCTATTGAGGAAATGCGGAAAATTCTATTTGAAGATGCATATGTAAACCAACGTTATAGATTATTCATATGAGTTCATATATACACTTTCAAATGGTTTTTTTCAATAATTCACATATTAACATTATCTTCTTACCTTCTCACAATATTTAGTGAGTGTTTGATTTAGTCAGAGGAATGAAAATGACAGGGAATGAAAATGAGAATGAATTTCCATTCCCCCTAGTTTAACCTGGAATCAAAATTTGGACTTCTGGGGGAATGAACCCATTATATTATATAAAATCAAATAGTTTCTTTTATTTTCGTTTCCATTGATTATTGCCTAATACCTCTAACCAAACACCCTTTTATTTTTCTCATTTGGACCTCATCAACAACACTCTTTGGGAGCATGGTTGAAACAAATTAAAAATTATATAAAAGAAAAGCTTGATCATTTAAACAAGTCTGAGTTACGCAAAGAAAACAAAAGGGTGGGGTTAGAATTGAAGACATGATGCATAATTGCATATAATCTTGTTTCCCACCTCCATGGAAGTCTAGCTACTTCATCAACTTACTTTGTCCTTGTAAACCACAAGTTTTGAAGCAATATCATTTTTTTTGTAGATCTTGTTAATTTATCATCAAAATAAGTTTTTTTAATCATCTATCTTGGTTTTGAATTCAAACGCTGTCAAAGCCTTTGTGATCATGACAGTTCAAGAATGTTGGCTACAGGACATGTAATTGCTCGGGTGATTAGTCGGTGCCTGTAAGTTCTGTAAGTTATCCAATATATAGAGCTCATCAAATGCAACCCTYTTAAATGTTGCAACCAATGCAACTTCATCTATACCATAAAATTAGACAATCACCAGTTGAGATAAGGTGGTTGTAATTGGGGATAAGGCGGTACATATTTTAAAAAATTAAAAACCAAAATACTCTTTAAAATAAGGATGATCTATGGTTGGGATTAAATTTTATTAGGTTGCATTATTGGTTGCAACATTTGAAAATGTTGTATTTGATTTGCATTATATATATATATATATATATATGTGTGTGTGTGTGTGTGTGTGTGTGTGTAGGGTTGGGTTCACGTGAGACTAAGAGTTTTTCGTGAGACCCGTAAGACCAATTTATTTTCATTGATCAACTTTATAAACATATGATCTAATGGTCTAAAGTTGTACGGTGGCAATTTTGTAATTATTGAGAAGTTTTGTGACGTTCATGAATGTTTAGATCTGACGATTGTAGATCTAATCCAAGGGTTGAGAATTAGTCTTACGGGTCTCACGAAAAACTATTGGTCTCACTTGATCTCAAGTTTATATGTGTATGTGTCTATATATATATATATATATATGTATGTATGTATTAAATAAAATGTAATTCAAATATATAAAAGAGAAAAATATTAACACAAATCTTTATTATTTGTCACTAAATGAGTTTTTGACGTAGCATGAAAACGAGTTAATCACACCAACGTATTTTTGAAGAAAATATCTTGAAATCCATCGATGTTTATAAATTGTAATCAATAAATTATGTCCATATATAAAGACGATGATCTTTATTTATAGATTAAAGTCCTACCCAAGAATCCTAAAATGCCTAAAAAAAACTATAGAATTATCGTTAATGAGTCAGAATATTTTCTATTAAACATTTGACATCATCACAATTGATATCGGAAGATATGAATTGTGTGAACAAAATTAAACCTAAATTTTTGACCAAAATGCTGATTTTGTAGCAACCTTTGACCTTTGGAATTAACTATTAAAATAATTTAATAAAAATATATGTTTGGTTATCATAAGTTACATTTCAATGAAATAATAAAGTCACAATCAAGTAGATTAATTAATTTAATAGATTTTGATTATTCGTTAAACATTTAAAAAATGTTTATAATAATAAAAAGAATAAAACTGAAGTCATAAAATATAGAATAATGGTTATAAAATATTGTACTTTTTAATCAATTATCGAACATCTAAAATATGTAATAAGGTTTTTTTTTTCTTGTAATCAATCTTATTAAGATTATAAATAGACTTAAAAGTATTTTTAATATATATCTAAAAAGCTCAATTTTTATATAAAAATTGATTTTAGGAATGAATTGAATTCATCTATTTTTTTCTTTTTTTAAATAAATATCTATGAATAAAAAACAAATTTTTAAAAAATGTATAATTATTACATTAATGTTTTAATTAACTTGTTTGACAGTTGCTAAATGATTTGGTACAAAATGATTAAGTGGTCAGAATGATTAACAGACTCTTATGATATAGTGCAAAATRAAATATAATTGTTTGGTAATTGTTTATGATGAAATTAGGGCGCTGAATGGTTAAGGGAAACATAAGATACAAAATCATTAAGAGGGTTTTAGAATCATTAAGAGACACATTTTTTTTTTTTGCCAAACAAAATTAATCTTTTAACGATTTAGAGACTGTCTGTTAATAAAACTATTAAGAGGTAAATAAATAGCCCAWAATGACAAATGTAAGGGGAAACAATAAATTTCTCTATATCATAATTACATGTCAAAATGAAAAATGTTTATATACGTTTTCTACTTATTTTAGAACAAATTAAAATATATAATTGATTTGGAACCAAATAAAACGTTGTTGATCAAAGACGTGAACAACAAGCCGGCAGGTTACTTTCACATGGTATCCTTCAAGTTCTCCTCCCTCCATATAACACCCGCCCGCCATGGCCGTTTTCCTCACTTCTACTTTGCTCAATTAAAACCATGGAAGTCGTAGCTAAACCCATGGATTTCCACTTCAATTCTCCGGCGAACTCCTCCGCCCCTTCCACTCCTAAACGCATGGGCGACCACTACTTCAGCGCCCCTACCAGCCCCACTCGCCTATTTGAGTTTGACCAACTCTTGAGATTGATCTCGGCCGACCACCACCAAAACCCTTCTCCGGCCACCGTCCCATTTGCTTGGGAGGAGAAACCCGGTGTTCCCAACTCATTATATAAGTTTCTTGAACATGATTTTGCATTCGATGTGAGTGGGGATCAGTTGGGTATGGATTCAGTCATTCCAGCTGAAGATCTATTTGACGGTGGTGTAATCAGGGTTCTGCCAGAAAATACAAAAGAGAGAAAGAACACCTCCATGGAAGAGAAAAGAAAAAGAACATCATCATTTTCTTCTTCTGCAGGTTTACCTTCGTCTAGAAGTAGAAGAACACAATCTTTTTCTCACAAAAGAGGCTGGGAGTGTCCATGGGAAGAAGAAGAAGAAGAATCGCAGGCAGCCATGAACGCGAAACCTCAATTGGTTTCATCGTGTTCTTCTCTTTCTGCTTCTAAAGGGTCGAGAAAATGGAGCTTCAAGGATCTGTTCTTATTCAGAAGTGCTTCAGATGGACGAGCGATGGATAGAGACCCATTGAAGAAATACTCAGCCATCATCAGAAAACATGATGAAGATTTCAGGAACTCAAGCTTGCGGTCCGTTGGATCTGGATCGGGGTCGAAGAGGAGAGGGGGAGTATCGGCTCACGAGTTACATTATAAGGTGAATCGGGCAGTTGCGAATGATCTCAAGAAGAAAACATTCTTGCCATACAAGCAAGGTATTCTTGGAAGACTAGCCTTCAATCCAACTGTTCATGCACTTTCAAATGGATTTGGATTTTCTCATAGAAATTGATGAATATTTATTTCGTTTATTTGTTGTTTTCCTTGTTGTGAAGACACTGATTTGTTCATGGATGTGTGCGAACCATCATTGAATCATATATAATATTTATTTGAGTAATTGTTATTGGTGTTTGGATCAACATGTACACAACTCAACTAATTCCATAAAGCCTTGAAGATGACAACTCAACTAATTCCATGAAGATAGCAAACAGACAGAAAATCACTGGTAGTTTTTAGGAGACCAGAGCTAGCTATCTATAAGGCGTAATCTTCGTTTGGCAATTAAGGTGACCGTCAAGGTTACACAAAATTAGATGAAGTATCAATGATTAGAAAGAACAATTGTTCACTAATGCAGATTTGGATCAAATATGAGATTTCCAACTAGTGTTGGATTGACAAGCCCTAAATTCAAGACTAATAATGTCATGGACCGGTTTTTATCTGGTCAGGTCTAGTCCATTGCGCTGCCGCCAGACGGTGTGGATCATATCGGCTAAAAAAAATCTAAAACATATGGAGCTAATTGGCCCACCAATCAGCCCAAATATGAATGTCCAATTGGTGAATGAAAATGGCCCAAGTAAAACATGCAGCCACAAAAAATATCATTTTTTTGCTTATTTATGCAGTTACAGACAGGTTTTTTTGGTTATGGTTCTATTCTATCTATTTGAAACAAAACTGGCATACAGTTGCAGTTGCAAACTATACATCATCAACCATTAAATAATGCAGATATTATATATATATATTCTGTCAATGAACTGTACGTTGTTCCATCCAACATCATATATAACCCCTCAAATTGTACCACAATCTGATCAAACCCAAAGGGTTGAAGATGACCAATGCAAGATGTAACAGTTATGTTCATATACTAATGATCAGGCTTTGACTTTTGAAGATTGGGATGAGGTTTTAACAATCTCAACAAAACCATAAGATTGTATATGTATATATATATATATATATGCCAACATAAAGTTGACCTTTTGTGATCTTAATTAACATTCTTTCCTATAAATTAGTGTTTAACTTACATTGACTTCTGCATATTTTAGTTTGTGATGACACTGTACAAATATAATATTATTATTATTTTCCTTGTGGATATTTATATAATTTAAGATTAAGTACATGTGTTCAATTTGCTTGAGATTTAGGACAATCAAGTCATGAACCTTGTTTCCCCATATATTTTAGGCTGAATTAATGCTAAACAAATAAACACTGTTGTGTAACAATCTGTGTTTCCCATATATTTTAGGCTGAATGTCATTGGTTTAAAATAATTGTATACGATATATTAAATTCCGAGTCATGCTTCGTACATATAAATTTTCATGAAGACTTGAAATGATAAGTTGTAAAATTTATAATATGTCATTGGACATTGCAAACAACAAATACCCAATAAGGCAATAGCACAATATGTTGTTATTGTTGTGCAACAACTCCAAATGTGTTGATACACGTGTGAATTGCAAATTTCAACGTGCAAGAATAAGATTCATTATCAAACTAACAAAAGCCTTTTAGTCTTAGCCCAATAAGTCAGTAACCCACACCAACACATATGACACAACTTCATAGTAATGAATTAGAATTTCTTTTAAAGAGAATTAAAGATTCATAAATCATGATGTGACTCAAACAACTCTACAAGTTCAATCAAGAATAGAAATCGGTCATTCGGGGTTTTCATTTTCGATTTCATGAATCTAGTTTCATGACTGTTACGGTTGGAAACGAAATACGCCATGCCTTGAAAATCGGAACATTCGAACCTTTTTTTTACCCGTTATGCGAGCCGACTAATCCCAGGACGACCACCTGCTTTGCTTTACAGATAGTCTGGAGTCACCGCATTTGAACCTATGTGGCCACAAGGGGATTTTTATTCCTCCTTAATTTGAACTTGAGACCTCCAAGTACTTTTGACCTTTAGAGTCAAGCTCAAACCAATCAGACACCACTCAAACACCACCCTTGTGGTTACATTCAAACTTTTATAAACAATAGAAATCGGCTTGAGTTGTTGAAATGTCGGTCRTTCACCCGTTCAGGATGAGCATTCAGTATCCATCAATACGAGGCCTTGAACYTGTTTTTATAGTTAAAGCCTAGTTATCWAATCTCAAATKATTAAACYCAAAACTAATMATAGATGAKAATTTAATATCGCTTTGGACTCACACATGCTACATGTAGCACGTAAGCCGTCTTCTGATACTAATGGAAGGGTTCTACGGTTAGAAATATTATTGAGATAGAGTAACAAAACATATGCGTGGTGGTGATTAATATCCACTGCTCGCCCTTACCCATGGCAACAAYGGCGATGGGCATGGGCAAGCAACAATTTTTTATTTATAGCAACCTAAGATTTTTCATTGTAAAATAATGGGCTTGAAAATTGTTTTTTAATCCTAATAAAACCAATAGGGCAGACTCCAAACGTCAACAAAAACTTGGGTTTAAATTTGTTTTTTATTTTAATATTTACTGCTTAAATTTTTAGGATTTTAGATTATCCTTAATTTTTAATTAATCAATTAATTTAACTTTTGTAAATGTTTTTTTATTCTAAGTTATTTTCATAATCTTATTATTTATTGTTTTGTAAAAAAATTATAAATGTTTTTCAATAAGCAATTCCAAACACCTCTCTAATCGCATTTTTAAGGTATCAACAACCAAACGAAACGGTTGGATTACATTACTTTTTTTCATTTTTCGTTGCATACCCTCGTCACATTAACATACATAATTGTATATTAACTAAAATCCGTTATAAATGTTTTTTTTTATTTTACGATTTTATAAATTCTATTTTTTGTTTTGTTTGTTTGTGTTTTATCTTTGACATTTGCATATAATAGAGATTAAATTGAAGTGAATTGAATTGAATTGAAGTAAACCATTCAATTTTGACGATTTCAATTCTAAGTGTTTTGTTTATGTGCTTCATAAAATACTTTGTTTAAAATACGTCTTGACTTTCTGTTTTATCATTTGAGGGTTTTCGTTTATGTCCTCTCGGTGTATTATTCTTTGCCATATTTCATAGAAGTCGGTCTAGGTCACAGGCCACGCTGTTTACACAGTAGGGTCCTCACGTGTATGATCACATATGATAAAGATGTTCTCACGTTTCCTTAAAATGAAGACATTCTCATTTGAATCTCTACCTCCCAATATGCATAGTTGCATTTTTTTTTACTTTTCTCCATGAGCATTCGAGACCTCAGGATCAGCTCTGTTAATATCACTCTTYGTAGGATAATATTAGCCCATATTATATTGTTGTTAGGTTAAGGTCAATTTGTTGGAATACGAGAGCCATACACTTAGCAGAAAATAACCGTATTCCTCAAGAATCCATACAAAAACGGAGTAAGGTGTGCGTTTTAAAATTTTACCAAAATGAGCAACAATCTTTTGATGTCCTTTCTAAAAGTAAGACAACGAACACAATCCACACCATCTACGCGAATACTCTGAATCCAGTTGACGTCCCAAGCCAAAAAAGGAGATGCTCTTTCTTCCTGAATGCTAGATACGGTTCCTAACTGTTTGCAAGAGAGAAATAAGAACTTGTAGAGTAGAGTAGAGAGAGAGAGAGAGAGAGAATTGAATCAGCAAATCAATTCTGCCAACCAACAATACTGTCTCACATCTTTCTATTTATATAAGTGTAATGATGGTAGTATAATAAAAAAATGCCTGGAAGAGTAACTCATTCTTTTAGATGATACGATAGTTTCTAAAGGCGTGCTTTAGAAATGACAATCCTTTTATTTACACTTGTTATAYAAGTTTCAATATCTGATTTAATTTAAACAAAATAAATACAAAGACATATATATCAATTAAATACTTTAATTATTTAATCTCCTTATTCAAATACATTTGTGTGTTTGACTTACTGAGACTTTATCACGTTGGTAATAATCACAAATGCTATTCATAATTATTAACGAAGAGCGATGTCTAGCAATACATCATCGTTACCCAAATGATAAAGCTTGGTGATTCAAACTAATCAACAAATGTGTGATCATTATCAGTTTACACATTATTGTCCTTTTGTTCTCAATATCTAGATTGAATGYACCGAAAGGAAGTGTCATCCTCGTTATGTCCAATCTTTAGTTTCTTGATTATAGGATATACAGATAAAACATATGTCAGTATCACATACTTACTATCTAAGCATGCATGCACTTCTTCAGTATTATTCTATCAAAAAGCCTAGAGATATCACTCATGTCATACAAGATGAACATATTCTACCTTGATTCATGCTAGTATTACTATGTGATATATGATATTCCCAATAAACATTCTCTCACCCCCATTCTCTAACCCAATTATGGAATGATTAGAATCAATTATCAAAGTAAGTCGCTYACATACAACAAACTCCATRTCTCAACTCAAAGGACTATATATACAATGACCASATGAGAAATGTCTACTACACTCATATGACTTCCAACAAAATGTTCTCATAGCGAGTCATGTTTGGTACAAAATATCTGATCTTGTACCCATATGTGGATTCTATATCTCCATATGAATTCTTACATATACTAGTCATTACCATATTAATTCAACCTAAGCATGAATTAACATTGTTCTRAACATTATAGACWACWGTGTTCTAAGGYTATTATTATATTTAAACATAATACAAAGTAATATATAAAAATAACAATTGGGCAATGCCTTTTATTARTGAATATTMTAACACAATGTTCAAATATAGTCATCCAATGCTCGACTTTTGAGCATATAYAGTAWCATAATTCATCCATGAWTTTGTAGTCTAAGATGAAGAACACTACTGAGTTGCCATCTTCGTAGACATCTTAATTTGTTTATAAAGAAAGGAAGCAATAATCAAAATTATAGTATTATAGGAAGACATGCATACTTATATTCGTAAGATAATAGTTGGTTAAAAAGTTATATGTAATTATCGATAAATTAACATCTATCATTAATGTAATGTAGGGACAAAAATAAAACAAAAATATGC